GCAGCAAGTAGTTGAGCAAGGTCTGTACGGGGTGATCACAGCTGAGCTGTCTGTGACCTCAAGTGTGTGGTGTGTGGGCAGGGCTGCAAGCTCAGCTCGACAGGCAGGGTACTCTGTGTGGTTGCATCCACCCGAGGAGGGGTGCTTTAGGAGCTTCTCCCAGGGTCTCCTATGGACTAGCAAAGGACCTTTTCCTCTGTAGCAGTCATTTCCTTCTATTTGTTTAAATTTGCTATAAAACTGAGGCCAACAGCTATATATTACAAAACCTGAACAAGAGCTCTGTTACTATACAAAAGTGATCATTTATAGTCTCTTGGAGACAAGATGCTTTCTGTTTCATCAACAGCTGGATGCTACATATAATTCAAGCTTCTGTGTCTAAACATGTAGTTGACATTCATATGGAAAGAAAATCACTAAACTCTCTGTGTGTACGTGAGATCAGAATGAAGTGTGGACTGCTACCCTGTTTTGCAATTCACCTCTGCAGCAAACCCCTCATGATTCCGCCTCTACCTCCTTCAGATCCACATACTGCATATCTGTGTCTGAGTTTTCTCACTATAAGTCGAAGTACAAGTAACACCCTGTGAAACCAGGAAGGATTTGATTTATTGGTGTCAAGCAACATGTCCTTGATGTGTAAGTTGGTTTGTGAGGGGTGTCATGGTGAAGTATGATGGTATGAATGGATTTTAGGCCTGTCCAGTTTGTGGACCTCATTCAGCCAAAGGCAGCTATGAATGGAGGCCAAGGGGAAAACCACAACAGTTAAAATATTATGAGTCACTTTTGTTATTGGTGGTGGTGGCTTTGTTGTTGTTGTTTTGTTTGTTTGTTTGTTTGGGGCTTTTTTTGTGGCTTTTGTTTTACAGCCCAGTCAGTATGCAGCCCTCTGGTATAAATCTTGTGGAAGATAACATCATATCACAGTGAGAAAAGACTGGATACCCTGCACCAGACACATAACTCACAGTTCACGGACGTTGTAAATCCAATATAAGGGTTTTGTCAGGTTTGGTGGTTTGAATGAGATGCTCCCCAATGTCTTGAATATTCTGTTTGAATATTCGGTCCCCAATTAATGGCGCTGTTTGGGAGGTTTAAGAAGTGTGGCCTTGCTGGAGGAAGACTGTCGCTAGAGATGGGCTTTGAGAGTTTAAAGTCTCATACCATGTTGAGTCTGCTTTCTCAGTTTTGTACTCCTGTTCTCTACTCGAGCCCTGGGCCTTCCGCTCCTGCCGCCATGCCTGCTGCTTCCCTGCTGTGGTCGGCTCTCATCCCTCAGTAACCATGAAGCCGTGTAATCTATTTCTTCTGTAAGTCTGCTTGGTCAGGGTGTTTTATCACAGCAATAGAAAAACGACTAAGTTAGCAAGGGTTGTTTCTTCCTGGGTCTGTTTCTTTGGCTTACGGATTAACTCTGTCTTCTCTTAGCCTTTCTCTGTGTGTATAGAATGTCTCCCATTGGATTCCTTATCAGCCACATTGCATTAAGATCCATCCCCAAAGACTTCATTGTAACTTAATTACTCCATTACCAGCTCCAAATGCAGATACATTCTGACATTCTAGAGTCAGAACCTTCACATATAAATTTGGGCTGAGGCACAGTAAAGGTGAAGTAACCGACATGAGACAGTTACTATCAACTACTCTGATTAAGCCAATTCAAGCTCTGAGTCCTTTTTACTGAGGGCCAGACCAGGAGTGTGTGCTTGTGACTCTGAAAAGTCTCCTGTTGCTCAAACCGAAGCACACAGAGTTTTTAGAAGCCAAAACCACAAAGGCCACAGTTTATCTCAAAGTTAGATGAGGGTCAGAGCAGCCTTGAAACATACATTTCTAGCAAAGCATAGTAATTATTTTAGACAAAACATGCCAATTATGTTTTTACTTATCCATTTTCTAGTTATTTTACTTTCTTTTCTAGTTTTCTAGTTTACTTTAATTATTTTGGTTAATAATTCTGGAGCACGCCAAGGCTGTGAAAATATCAAATGTGTTGCCAAGGCAGACATGACTGTTGTGGGGAGGGGTGGAGGGCTGAGAACTGTCTAAGCCAGTAGTTCTCAACCTGTGGCTTGCAACCCTTTCACAGGGATGGCCTAAGACCATCTGTGTATCAGGTATTTATAGTACGATTCACAACAGTAGCAAAATTACAGTTGTTAAGCAACAAAAATAATTTTATGGTCGGGGGTCATCACAACACGAGGCACTGTATTAAAGGGTTGCAGTATCTGGAACATATAGAAACTCTTCTATACACAAAGTGGGGTTAGGACAAGATGGCATTACCTTTGTCATTTCAAAGGGACCTAATTTATAACGATTAACCATTTTCTTCTTGTTGCTATAAGGTAAATGTACAGGAAGCCTTTTCTTTATAAGCATTTATTGCTGCACATTGTGCTTATGAAACATTTCCTTAGGGACAAGCAGAGACAGTAACTCTCCTGGCTGTTCTCTGTAACATCTGGTATGTTAGTCTTGTAGTTACCATCCTTAGGGACAAGCGGAGACAATGACTCTCCTGGCTGTTCTCTGTAACATCTGGTATGTTAGTCTTGTAGTTACCATCCTTAGGGACAAGCGAAGACAGTGACTCTCCTGGCTGTTCTCTGGTATGTTAGTTTTGTAGTTACCATCCTCATTCATTGATCCTGAGTCCTGCTTCCTAATATGAGAGAAAACGTGTGTGTGCAAGCATGTGTGTGGTGCACTGTGTGAGGTATTCTCATGCGCTCGTGTGTGTGTGTGTGTGTGTGTGCACCTGTGCGCATAGATGTTGGTACACATGTATATGCATGAATGTGTAGGTTAGAAGTTATCATTAGATATCTTCCAAATTTTTTCTCTACCTTAGTTTTTGAGTAAAATTCTCACTAAATTTTGTGCTAAATAATTTGGCTCCAGGGATTCACATGACTCTCCTGCCCCACAGCCATGACTACAGATTTGCATCACAGCACCCAGATTTTTACATGGGTGCTGGGGAATTTCAACTCAGGTCCTCATGCTTAGGTGGTAAATACTTTACCAACTGAGCCATGTCTAGAAAATAGCAAGATTTTATGGGCCAAATCCAACAGTAGGATCCAGGTCCCAGTGTCTCACATATTTAGCTAATAGAGTCATACCATCCTTCATTCTGAATCCTGTTAGATAACTTATTAATGTACCTCAAGGTCCCACGTGACTGTGAAGCCAATGACCATTCCATTTTGAATGCCATGTTGTTAGTGTCTGCCTTAACTGTTCACCTGAAAGTGAAGAGATTCTAGTAAGTCCCTACCATCCTTGCTTACACTACCTTTAGGGCTTCCTGGATTGTTCCCATGACTTACTAGACTGGAGATGAGTTCTCAACTGATCTTCATTTCATACACAGCCTCTCTCCTTCCTCGGAAGTCACCATCTTTCTGGTAGAGGAAGAGGCCAAGAGCTGTCCTTTTCCTTCACTGTGATGTCTTGGCCCTGTAGTCTCTCTTCAGACTGTGGAGCCATAAGGTTCTCTAGAACTTTGAGACTTTCATGATCACATTTCCATGAGAGGAATCTGAGGAATGGCTTACAAATTTGATTATACACTAGAAGCACTAGGAACTCATTCTGGACGCCTCGGTGCAGGCAGCTGCAGCACCGGAAACTCCCCGGGTGACCTCATTGTCTCCTTACGGCTGAAATCCTCTTAGGTGCCGCCATCTCGTTGCTTCTCTAGGTGCTCCCGCATGAAATATTATTGCTCAACAAAAGAAGGGTTAAGCAATCCCCTCCTTTCCCTCCTTCCTTCCAATCCTGTCTCTTATTGAGTGCTCAGGTGTTGTAGTAATTATTTAAAACGCCCTCTGGCTCAGGCCGAATATCTAAGCTGCAGCGGCTCTGCCTAGCCCAGCTGCCATGTTTCTTGGGAGGCCATATGTGCGCCGCAGCTAGAAATGGCCAACTAGAAACACCAGCCCTGCCACCCACGAGACGTCAGCGTGGGAGATGGCTCAATCTCCCACACTGTCTCTGCAAGGCCGGGCATTGCCTAGACCATCCCGCCATCTACGTGGACCCAGTAGAAAGATGAGACTCTAATGCTTAAAGATTAATCAAAGGCTTGTATATTTGGTAATGATCAGTAACAAGATACCCATACAATCAGAAGTGTGACCCAATACCTAACGTAGATATATCAACTACCTTTGATTGTACAGACACATGAACATCCGCCTCCATCTCCTCCCCCCCTTCTCCTCTTTTGTCTCCTAGCTCCTTCTCTTCCTTTTTCCTCCTCTCCCAACTCCTCCTCTTCCTCTCCTTACTCCTCCCACCTTAGCTCCTCCTACACTGAGGCCATATCACGTGTGTGAGTAAAAGGAAAGTTAGAAGCAGACTTCTGATAGTTAGAAAACGTCTCTGGAATTTCCCACCTGACATCAGGTGAATTCAAATAGAAGTTAACTCAGCAACTCTATGAACAGTTTGCCAGTGTTCATACGCTACTCTTTGCTACCCTGAAGCTCAGATCAGTTGAGTTGTCTGATTTGTTTTTATCAGTTCCTATAGTTTTCTCTTTTAGGATCACATATCAACCTATTGAATACAAAGCTTATTTTGATGCTCTCTCTTCTGTGCCCTCCTCCGCATTTTGATGTACCCTCAGCAAAGATGTCTATTTCTAATATTTTGGAAGGAATGGAAACCTCTTGGTTGACACACAGCTTCTATTGTAATTTTTCTGCTGCTGACGGGTAGGAGAACTTCTGATGGGTGAAACTTACCCATCCAGGCCTGGTACTTCCTGTGCTGTCAGGAAGGTACTGGGAAAGCTCCCTTAAAACACCTACCTGCAGGTCTGAACATTCCCTCTGCCCTTCTCTGTACAGTTTAGAGACTTATGCCTTCAAATGATCTTAGGTCTTTACTAATGGAGGACCTATGGTGTCAGATTGTTAGATCCTAGAAAACAAATGACTCCTTGAATGTTTTCTGAAACCATCTTCTAGGTGCTTTGGACCCTGCTTTGCTGAGAATGAGGTGGTCTTCACACACAGCCCCTTTACAGCTTTGGGGAAGCAGTAGAGAGCGTAGAACCCATCTACAGGCAGAGTCCTAGAAACCCGGTACGTGCAATTCTTTCCATTTGTCAATAATCACCTTCCAATCAAAGTGTTTCGCAAGGCTTGGCCAAGACAAAAGGAAAACATCTATCCTCCATTTTTACTGTGTTTATCAAAATGCATCTATTTAGATTATCTGGGAGAAGAGAACCTAGTGATTATATGTAGATGATAATAACATCAATTATAAAATCTGTATGGATCTCACAGAATTATGGAAAGCGCATAGCAAAAGCAAGTATTAGCGACAGTTGCGTGTTATCCCAGAACTCAAGGAAAATCACTGTTAACAACATTTTGGTGCATCTTACTCAAGTCTGATTCAGACAGTCGTGTGAGGCTGCTGCAATTCTTGCTCTCTAGCTATCCTTTCCACCTGAGAGAGCATGCTGCTTTTCATCTCATTGGATGGCCTTCTAGACGCTGTGACCTTGGTAGCTTTTTTTGTATTGAAGTCATTTCTGGATATCTGCAGAGATTATGTGGTGGTGAAACTGTACATGCCTCAGAGGCTCCGTGCATCTTCTCCTGGATCCTTAGACTAAATGTGTACTTGAAAAGCTTTCGATGTGTATTGATGAGCTGTCCTCTGGGAAGCTCCTATCAGTGGTCCCCCGTCCCAGCATTTCCTTTAGGAGTTTCAGAATCCTACCCATTTGCAAAAGTATTACTTTTAACTGTTTCCTACGATTTTGGTGGGAGGAAAAGGAAAAGGACTGAAGAGGTGGCTCAGTGGTTAAGACCATGTACAGCTCCTGCAGAGAACCAGGTTTCAGTACCCGGCACCCGGACTGCATGGCTCACGACTGCCTGTAACTCTAGCTCAAGGAGATTTGACACCACTGGATTCCTCAGACAAACATATATGCACAGAATTTAAAATAATTCGAATTTAAGAAGAAAAAGGAAAAAAAATCATTGACAGATTTTGCATTTTCTTGTTTCATCATAATTTATTTTATGATTATACATCTGCTATAGATAGTTTATTTTTAAAATTTTATATATATGAGTATACTGTCACTGTCTTCAGATGCACACCAGAAGAGGGCATCAGATCCCATTACAGATGGTTGTGAGCCACCATGTGGTTGCTGGGAATTGAACTCAGGACCTCTGGAAAGGCAGTCAGTGCTCTTAACCGCTGAGCCATCTCTCCAGCCCTGAAGATAGTTTTGCATATAATGCTTGAGTAGAGCTATTTCTCCTGTTTCAGAAACATAAATATTTAAGGAGACAGATGTATCTAACCTGATTTAAACTTAAAGCAATATGTACATGTATTGAAACATTACATGTACCTCGTTAGAATCAACAGTTTTATGTTTATGCATCAGTTAAAATTAATTTAAAATAAACAAAACTATAAGTATCTTAACTCATTATCTGCCTTTTAATTTCTTCTCAAGCCTCTCCCCAGGCTGGGTCTTTTTAATTCACAGTCAATTATTCGGCTAGGAGAATGACATTTGCTGTCACTGAGAAAGTCTGGTATTGATTTTGCTCGCCAAAGAGCAGAAATGGCATTTTAAGCAGGAGATTTTGCTATATTAAAAATGATCATTACAGAATAGAATTTCTACTTAGCTTATGTAAATAATAATCCTGGCAGCCAGGAGGTCATGGTCTTTTCCCTAACCATCAAACCAGAGATCCTTCGTCCATTGGTGCTACGGTACTTCATTAATTATTGAAACCTGAAAGAAACCTTTGAGATCACATTCATTGTAGAGCCTTTGCTACAGATTGTGTAGTGAGAACAGGCTCTTTCTAGCCAGAGAGTACCATGTTTAAGTACCATGTATAAGTTCCATGTATAAGTACCACATATAAGTACTATCTATAAGACCAAGCACGAGAACACACTAGTCTCAACTCCACATTTATTTGACTGAAAATGTGTGCATATAGGAAACATTGTAACCTTACAAAAGGATTGCATGATGGATAAATGAGATTATGTTATATTATTGCTGTTAAAACTACCTGTATGATTCAAATTTTCTGTATAAATGATTTTTAATTGTGAAAAATGCTAACAATGCTTATCATTAGAAAATGATACCGGGATAAAGAGTGAAAAAAAATCTCAGCCTTTTTCCCCCCAGTGGGGTTTGGTTGTGTTGCCCTAGCTGTGCTAGAACTCACAGGATCCGATGTTCATCCTGCCTTAGCCTCCCCAGCAGCTGGAACCACAGCTAAACACCTTTGCACCTGACTTCAGTGTCCAAATTTTGGTTTGTAACACTGTATTAGGGTTGCCTTTATTTTGTTGTTATTTTGCTTCAAACCATTTGTTTGTGTGCCTGTGTATTCGTGTGTGTGTGTGTGTGTGTGTGTTTGCGCTCTCTCGCTCAGGAGCCTGTGTGGGAGCATGCATGTATATGAGTCTATACATAGCTTCCTTAGTCACTCTCCACCTTTTTTTTTTTTTTTTTTTTTTTTGCGTTGGGGTCTGTCACTGAAGTTAGAGCTCCCTGATGGTGAGACTGGCCATCCAACAAACCCTGGGGGTCCTCCTGGGATTACTGGTGTTCCCTGACATATCTGGCTTATAATACAGGTGCTGGGGCGTCACACTCGGGTTCTCTGAGCCATCTCCCCAGCCCTTTAGAGCATCTATTTTATTCATTCGTTCATTTACTTATTTATTTTGAGACAGCATCTCACTATGTATCCCTGGCTAGTATGGAACTAACTATATAAACCGGGCTTGCCTCAAGTTCACAGAAATCTCCAATTTTTGCCTTTGGATCAAAGGCGTGTACCACCACACTCAGCTCTTGATTAAGGGTTTTTTTCCTTCATTTTTTGTTTGTTTTATGTGTGTGAGCGTGTGTGTGTGTGTGTGTGTGTGTCTGTCTGTCTGTCTGTATTTGGGCATGTGCACATGAGTGCAGTAGACCAAGAAGCCCAGAAGAAGGTATTGGATCACCTGGAGTTACAAGCACTTGTGAGTGCTCGCTGAGGCTAACACTCCCTGATTTGGTTAGACTGGCTGCTTGGTGCATCAGACATGAGTGCTCAGAACTAAACACAGGTCCTCAGCAAAAACAGAGCCCCTTCTTAAGTGCCCTAACCCTACGTCACGACATGACAACATTTTAAAGAGACAAATACCGAAAGCCAACTTAACCTTGTTTGTTTGTTTGTTTGTTTGTTTGTTTTTGAGACAGGGTCTCTTTGTGTAGCCCTGGCTGTATGGAACTCATTGTGTGGACCAGGCTGGCCTCCAACTTACTGAGCTCCACCTGCCTCTGCCTCTCTCATACTGGGATTAAAGGTATGGCCACCACATTGGCTAAATAAGTTGTTCTAAGTACAAGAGGGGATGTTTACTAGTTACAACTAGCCACAAAATAGAGAGTTTAGTGTCTTTCTCAAAGTCTTGCACCTTGTCTTTGTTGAAAAGTTTGCAAATCTTTGTTTTTTTTTTTCCCCCTTGTGTCTGTGGCCTAATTCATGATGGAGAAACAAAAAGCAAACAAAAGAAATTGTTTCCCAAAGCAATCTAAAAGTGTAAGTTGCTGATTGAATTGGGGGCGCCTGTGATATTGAACTGCAGACAGGTTGTGAAACATAACTAGGGTCTGAGTCATGGTATTTCTTTATTTTTAAGTAAAATGTCACGGAGCATTTTGCCGCTTTGATGCACGCATGGAAAAGGAGTTAAGAGCACTGGGCTCAGCAAGTTCCTTACTTTGAGCTTCAAGTCCTCTGAATGCACAGAACTGACTGTCATTAAAGGATCCTAACGGCTGTTTCTGTTGTAGGCAAAATGAAGGACCGGCTTGCAGAACTTCAGGAATTGTCCAGGAGCTATGACCAACAATTCCCAGATGGGAACGACGACTTTGACGCTCCCCACGAGGACATCGTGTTCGAGACCGACCACATCCTGGAGTCCTTGTACCGGGTCATCCAGGACATCCAAGATGAAAACCAGCTGCTTCTGATCGACGTGAGGCGCCTGGGGAGGCAGAACGTCCGCTTCCTCACGTCCATGAGGCGCCTCAGCAGCATTAAGCGCGACACCAATTCCATCGCCAAGGCCATCAAGACCCGGGGCGAAGGCATCCACCAGAAGCTGCGCTCCATGAAGGAGCTGAGCGAGCAGGCGGAGGCCCAGCATGGCGAGCACTCGGCGGTGGCGCGCATCTCACACGCACAGTACAGCGCGCTGGCCCGCGCCTTCCAGCAAGCCATGTATGAGTACAACCAGGCAGAGATGAAACAGCGCGACAACTGCAAGATCCGCATCCAGCGGCAGCTGGAGATCATGGGCAAGGATGTGTCGGGCGAGCAGATCGAGGACATGTTTGAGCAGGGCAAGTGGGACGTGTTCTCCGAGAACCTGCTGGCCGACGTGAAGGGCGCGCGGGCGGCGCTCAACGAGATCGAGAGCCGCCACCGCGAGCTCCTACGCCTCGAGGGTCGCATTCGCGACGTGCATGAGCTGTTCCTGCAGATGGCTGTGCTGGTGGAGAAACAGGCGGACACGCTGAACGTCATCGAGCTCAACGTGCAGAAGACTCTTGACTACACGGGTGAAGCCAAGGCGCAGGTGCGCAAGGCGGTGCAATACAAGAAGAAGAACCCCTGCAGGACCATCTGCTGCTTCTGTTGCCCCTGTGTCAACTAGCAGCTGGCTTGGGCCTCCACTGCATGTAGGATGCCAGCCAAAGCATCCTGTGCTGGGCCGAGGGAGAGGATCCCAATACCTTACAGAATTCAGAGCATAGAGAAAGTGGGGGTTGGGATGCAAGATTTGGAACCTGACACCTGCCTACAAGGGATGGTTGTTAGCATCCAATGGCTCCTTAATGTAGGCAGATTTCCACCGGCATTGTGTGATGTCATTATAAAATACATAGCACTCAGCATTACCGGGAGGAACTAATATCATTGCTAAGATTCATGTCTTGAAGTCTAAAGGAGGAAGCCAAGCGAAAGTATGCTAATAGTATGAGCACATTATCAAAAGTTACCTTCGTTTATCCTCTCTAGAAAGTTCCTAGGTGCTACACGATTTTGAGTGACATTCACTTCAGTATTCCTCACTTCTGTTCAATTTCAAGTAACTTTGACCTCGGGTAAGCTGGATGCCATTCACTTCCAATTATCTATGTTGTATGAGTCCTGCGTGAACACCTTTCCTTGAATCGCTCCCCCTACGCATTAACCCGCACTGGACACTGGTTCCTTAGCTTGCTCACGTTTTATAATGTCTACCAGTTTATATATGAATATTTTTTAAGCACCAAATATTGAACGGGCACTCAAGTTGAACTTTATATTGGTCACATTTTATGGATTTTTCACAGATAACATTTATTTAAAAATGTATCTTTGTACTTCATTTCATATGAATATGGGTGTAAATGTAAACTAATCTTCAGTCGCAAGTGTATATTAAAGGCTAATTGGATTGACTTTGTTTTTGGAAATTCTGTATATAAGCAACAAGAGCTTTTTTGGTACATGTCAGTGTTTGGTGGTCTCCAGGGTATTTCATTCCTGTCTGCACAATCCAGTTTGGGTCAAACTTTATTCTGAACAACTGTGTACTGTCATTAATAAAGATAAGCAAGAAAGATTGGAAACCTGTGAAACAGCTAGAGATAGTAAAGTGAGGGTCTTTGAAATAGTAATTTACCTTACTGAGAGCCAGTCCTTTCTCCATTAAAGCAGAGAGAAGTAAAGTAAAATCTTGATTTTTAAATAAGTTTAATAAACACGACATTATAACCATCTTTGTATTTACATCTTGACCCATTGAACCTCAATTGATTGTCTTTTTTGATTTTTGTTAAGCTTTCTCCCACCTGACTATAATGTCTGCATGGGACTCAAAACAAAGTTTTTACTGTCGTTTAGAAACTGCTGAGGTTTTAAAGATTTGCTTTCACTTGAAGATGTTCGAGACCATGTTCCAGACCGTAGTTACCATGCCTGTGTGTGTCTTCTGAATCCACCCCCTACTGCTGTGTTTTAACATGTGAGTGATTTCACTAGAAAGCCCTATATCCTGAGTTCATAAGAAGGAAGGTTCATAAGAAGAAGAAAGAAAAGCAGGAACTCTTTTGGGCCTGTTGATCTGCTCATGAGAGAGAAAAACCAGCCTTGTGCAGTTTTGCGCTTTTTTTTTTAAGATTTATTTATAATTATTTAATGTATATGAGTGCTCTATCTGCATGTACACCTGCATTCCAGCAGAGAGCATCAGATCCCATTACAGATGGTTGTGAGCCACCATGTGGCTGCTGGGAATTGAACTCAGGACCTCTAGAAGAGCAGACAGTGCTCTTAACCGCTGAGCCATCTCTCCAGTCCGCAGTTTTGCTTTTCACAGTTCAATATGAACTGTACGTGCAGAGCCCCGCCAGGTTTCTTTATCACATTTCTATGGGGATCTTCGGCTTTCACTAAGGGAGGGGGAAGTTCCCACATTGCTCTAGTAGCCTAGTTTTTATTGCAGAGAAGAGTCTGTGTGTAGAGACTAGCTATTTTCTGCAAGAAGGAACAGTCTGTAAATTTAACTTACATGAACTCTGGAAGAATTTTCTTTCTTTCTTCCTTCCTTCCTTTCTTTTTTTTAGAACCATTACAAAAATAAACAACTTTCTGTATCTGCATAATTGTTTTTCAAGACAGTCTCACTATATGGCCCCAGCTGACTTGGTACTCACTATATAGACCAGGCTGCTTTTAAACTCACAGGCATAGCCTCCTGTCTCAGCCTTCTGAGAGCTGAGATTAAGGCCCAGCCACAACACCAGGGTAGAACACTTTTGTCCTAAGTAATCCTAATGATGAATCTGTGGTAACTATTCTATCCTGCTTGCTTCTATTAGACTGTTATCCCATCCTGTTCTGTCCTGTCCTGTCCTGTCCTGTCCTGTCCTGTCCTGCTCAAGACATGAATCATAAGCTCCATGAAGAGTTCTGGAAAGTCATCCAGGCTGCAACACAGACCTCAGGGGAAAGCATCAGTTGCCTGGAACCTATAGTAGAAAGGAGCACTGTCTCCTGCAAATTGTACACACACACACACACACACACAAGGAATTTAAATATAGACTCTGAATATGAGAGAACACATGTGGTGTTTGTCTTGCTGAGTCTGGCTTATTTGGGGTTTGTTTGTTGTTTGTTTTTGACACAGGCTCTCTCTATGTGGCCCTGAATGTCCTCAAACTCACTATGTAGACCAGGCTGGCCTTAAACCCACAAAGATTTGCCTGCCTCTGTTTTCTGAGTTCTGGCCTGAGTCTGGCTTATTTCATTTAGCGTATCAATCTCTATCATCCGTTTTCATCCATTTTCCAAAAAAAGTTATGATTTTCATTTTCTTTACCACTGAATAAAACCCCACTGTGTATAGTGTCACATTTTATTTGTTTATGGACATCTAGGCTGGCTATTTTTCTGGCTATTGTGAACAGTAAAGCAACAAACACAGACATTCAGGTATCCATGCTCACTTAGAGTTTGTGTTCCACCGTGGTTTGGGTGGGGATGATGGTTCATCTTGGTTGTTGACTTGGCTGGATCCAGAACTAATAAAAAGACAAGCTGCTGCCACTCCTGTGAGGTGTTTTCTTGATCAGGTTAGTTAAAGTGGAAAGACAACTGTACATGTGGCAGCGCCTTCTGATAAAGCCCAGACAAAAGATGTAAGAAGGAAACTTTTGCCTGCTTGCCTTCACTCTTGCGTGCCAGTCCATCTACTCTGTTGCTGCTGCTGCTGTTGTTGTTGCTGCTGCTGCTGCTGCTGCTGCTGCTGCTGCTGCTGCTGCTGCTGCTACAGCTATTGTTACATTCCTTTGTTGGTACCATAACCCAGCTCCTTTGGGATGCCTATATAGACTTCCAGTGGCTCTCCAGGAGTACTCCAAGATTTCAGCACCAGACTGACAGACTGGAACTACTGAGACAGTCTTATGATCAAACAGCTACTGGATTCTCAGCCTTTCTGTCATAAAGCAGCCATGGTTGGATTACTCAGACCATGTCATGTAATCCAAGCTAAGAAATCCTCTATTCTATCAGTACACTGGATCATAAGGTAGTTCTATTTTCAATTGTTTTAGTTACATTAATGTTGATGTGAGCTGGTACAACTTGCCTCGCCGCCATCAGTGTATAAAGCATTGCTCCCACCCCTACATCCTTACAAGCTTCCGTTGGTTTTTGTTTTCTTCATCATAGGCATTCAGACAAGGGTGAGATAGACTATCAAAGTGGATTTACTTTTGTGTTTGCCTGGTGGCCAAGAGTGATAAATACTTCTTCAAATATTTACAGGTCATTTGTGTTTAATCTTGGAGAACTCCCTATTCAATTCCTTAGTCTGTTCTTTACTGTATAATTTAGAATTTTTATTTAATTTGGAATTTAATTTCTGCATTCCTGCTAACTCCATGTCTGATGTTCAGTTGGCAAATATAATTTTCTCCTTCTACAGGCTGACTCTTCACTCTGTTGACTTTTTTTTTCTTCACTTTGTGTACTTTTTAATTCATTGACAGATTAGTATGTGTATATAATGAATTTTATTCATTGTCCCTCACCATTACCCTCTTATTCTCCTCCTCCCAACAAGCCCTTTCTCTTTAAAGAAAAAAAAACTTATCTAAGGCACCACATGGGTGCTGAGAATTGAACCCAGGTCCTCTAGAAGAACAGCCAGTGCTCTTGACCACTGAGCCATCACTCTAGTCCCCACCAAACCCTTTCTTACTTCCATGTATTCTGTGTGTATGACTGAGTGCAAAGAGGCAGCCAGCATGAGCATGGGTGGGAGGATATTTATAGGATGGAACACGGGCAACTTGTCAATGACAAGAAAGAAAGAAAGAAAGAAAGAAAGAAAGAAAGAAAGAAAGAAAGAAAGAAAGAAAGAGAGAGAGAGAAAGCAGAAGAGAAAAGAGAAACCCCTTCCTTGGGATTGGAAGAATCAGAGAGGTCAGGGACACCATGAGAACATGTCCCACAGAACCAAGTGACTGGAACTCATGGGGACCTGCAGAGATCAGGGAGCCTGGAGGGGTCCAATCTCGGTTCTCTGAGTGTATGCTATGGCTGAGCAGCTTGGTGTTCTTGTGTGAATCCTAACAGTGGGAGCAGGGGCTGCCCCTGACTCTTTTGCCTCTCTGTGGGACCCTTTTCCTCTGACTGTGCTGCCTCCTCCAGCCTTGATGTGGTGATGTGTGCCTGGTCTTACTGTAGCTTGTTATGCCGTGTTGGTTGGTGTCCCTGCTCTTTTCTGAAGGGAGGTGGAGTGGGCCAGTGTATCTGGGAGGGAGGGGAGGTGGGAGACAGATACCTGGGGTAGGAGAGGTAGAGGAAATTGTGGCCAGGATGTGATATATGAGAGAAGAATAGAAAAAAAAAATTGAAAAAGGAAAACAAAACAAAACAAAAAACACCCTTTCTCTAGACAACATTAACTGTCACTCCTAAGAGAGAGAGTTTTGTTTTACAACACTCCTCCCCAACCTCTGGCTCTCAGAACCTTCCCATCTCCACTTCTCAGATGCTCCCTGAGCTTTGGGAGGAGGTGGGTGTACTGGTTGGAATTGCCCCCTGTTAGTCTTAGGCGTTCAAACACTTGCTCTCCAGCCGGTGGCACCATTTACAAAGGTTTGGATGGGTCAGTCTTGCTAGAGGAAGTCTATCAGGGGGTTGGGACTCAGCCTTGTAGGCGCTTTCAATTTACTCTCTTCATTGAGCTTGTGGTTGAGAATGTGGGTTCTCAGCTTCCTGCTTTAGATCCCAAGTCTACTGCTTGTGCCACGCCTTCCCCAGCACGATAAACTCTTATCCCTTGGGAACCAAGAGCCAAGATAACCTCTTCCATTAGTAGCTTTTGGTCATGGTGTTTTATGACAACCATAGAAAAGCCTGTAATACAGTGGAAAGTGATAGAGATATCTTGTTTGGGGTCAGCCAACATGGTCTCTGGGGGCAAAGGAAGCAGAAATGAAGACCAAGGGGTTAGGAAGCCATGTGAGTACTGCTCTTGAATGATCAAACCAGGGCCGGCTATCAGAAGGCAGATTGACTTTACTTAGGGCATATGAAGTTTTGGGGGACTTAGGGTAGGAACATCCAGGATGGGCAAAGGTCATTGGCTCAGGGCTTAGGACGTCTAAATGCCTCATTAGCATGGGAAGCATTTCAGGAATCTGAAGTGCTAGCTGAACAGGTTCTTATCAGGAGAAAGGAAATTGATCCTGTAATCTAACTAAGGCTAGGTGACGTTGCTCGTTGCTTGGGTACAGACATGTGTGGGAGCTTAGAACTCCCCAAAGTCAGAGAAGGAGAAGCCCCACTAATGAAGGGAGTCTCTCATTACTCCAGGAGCCCAGAGGCTATCCAGTCGATGATTGGCTTCAACCTTAATTAGCATAGTTTTCCCACACTGCACTTTGACGGATTATGTGTCTTTTATATTTACCACTATGTACTGGGTAAAGAAGCTTCTCTGATGATGGCTGAGAGCAGCATTCATCTATGCATATAAAGTTAAATATTTATAAAACAGTTTGATATCTATCCACAGTAAAGCAATAGTTGTAGGTTGTGCCCTGTGTGCAGGCCCTATGACCTCCCAGCTACAGATTCTTGGCCAGGTTTACAGTTCCAGGCATGTGTTCTTTTCTGTGTAGTGGTCTTTAAATCTAATCATAAAGTAGTTGGTTAGACTGATGATGTCTATGCCACTACTAAACTGTGGGTCCCCGGTT